AAAGGCAGATAGTAACACAGTGAATCAGTCACTTAAAAAGCTAAGATTAAAGACAAAAGAGTGAAATTATAACAATCAGGAGCTACACACAACAAAAAGAAGTAAAATAAGACATGCAAAACAAAGTGTGGAGGGAAGTGAACATGTGCTTCAAGAACGCGTTTGCACTTTATCAGCTTAAAATAGACCGCTATAGATACAGATGGATATACACACACAGTGAATCAGTCACTTAAAAAGCTAAGATTAAAGACAAAAGAGTGAAATTATAACAATCAGGAGCTACACACAACAAAAAGAAGTAAAATAAGACATGCAAAACAAAGTGTGGAGGGAAGTGAACATGTGCTTCAAGAACGCGTTTGCACTTTATCAGCTTAAAATAGACCGCTATAGATACAGATGGATATACACACACACACACAAACCTCATGGTAACCACAAACAAAACTACAAAAAATAGAAAACAACAAAAACAGCAAACCAAAAGGAAAGACCAAGAAAGGAAAGGAAGAGAAGAACTACAAAAGCAGCCAAAAAACAATGAACAAGTGCACACCTATCAATAAGTACTTTAAATGTAAATGGGCTAAGTGCGCCAATCAAAAGACAGAAGGTGGCAGAGTGGGTTAAAAAACAAGACCTAATCTAAGAGACTCGCTTCAGATTGAAAGACACACACAAAGGGAAGGGATGGAAAAAGATAGTCTCCGCAAATAGAAATGAAAGCTGGGGTAGCAATATTCATAGGCAAATACAGACTTTGGAACAAAGAGTGTAAAAAGAGACGAGGTCATTACACAATGAGAAGGGTCAGTACAGGAGGCTATAACCATTGTAAATGTCTGTGCCCCCAAGTATATAAAGCAAAAATTAATGGACAACATAAAGGCTGAAATTAACAGTAATACAACAGTAGTTGGGGACTTTAATACCCCACTTACCTCGATGGATAGATAATCCAGACAGAAAATTATTAAGGAAATAATGGCCTTAAATGCCGCATTAGATCAGATTGACTTTTAGAACATTTTATACCAAAACTAGATTACACATTATGCTCAAATACACATAGAACGTTTTCCAGGATAGCCCACAAAACAAACCTCAGTAAATTCAAGAAGGCTGAAATCATATCAAGCACCCTGACTGACCACAATGGGATGAAACCAGAAATCAACAACAGGAAGCAACTTGGAAAAATACAAATAACATGGAGATTAAACAACCAACAGATCAAAGAAGAAATCAAAACTATTTTGAGACAAATGAAACTGAAAACACAACTTTTCAAAACTTATGAGATAAAGCAAAAGCATTTCTAGGAGGAAAGTTCATAGCTATACAGGCCTACCTCGGGAAGCAGGAAAAAATTTCCCAATAAACAATCTAACTTTATACCTAAAGGAACTAGAAAAAAGGACAAATGCCACCCAAAGTAGAAGGAAGGAAACAAAGATCAGAGTGGAAATAAAAAAAGACTAAAAAAAAATAGAAAAGATCAATGAAACCAAGCTGGTTTTTTGAATAGATAAATAAAATTGACAAACCTCTAGCAAGACTCGTCAAGAAAAAGAGAGCCCAGATAAATGAAATCAGAAATGAAAAGGGAAAGATTACAATGGATGCTACAGGAATACAAAGGATCATTAATACTATGAACAATTATATATGCCGATAAATTCAAGAAACATAAAACCTTCCAAGACTACACGAGAAAGAAACAAAATCTAGATGCACTTATTACTAGCAATGAGATTGAAGCAGTAATCAAACTCCAAAATAAAGCCCAGGACCAGATGCCTTCACTGGTGCATTCTACCAAACGTTTAAAGGAGATTTAATACTTATCCTTGAATTATTCCCAAAAGCCGTAAGGCCAGCATTACCCCGATACCAAAACCAGACAGATACTACGAAAAAAGAATTACAGGCCAACATCCTTGACTAACATAGATGCAAAAATTCTCAACAAAATACTAGCACATTGAATACGACAATACATTAAAAGCATTATACATCGCGATAAAGTGGGGTTCATTCCAGGGACGCGAGGGTGGTTCGACAGCCACAAAACAATTACTGTGACTCATCACATCACCGAAACCAAGGACAAAAATCACATCTCAATAG